GAACACACCTTTTTTATTATTAATAACAATAATAAGATTTTATTAAATTGGCCCTTTTGAAACGTTGGTAATTTTTAAATATAGATTTGTATTAGATGTATCAAGTTTTCTTATTTTGTGAATAATCAAACTGGCAAGGCATGAATAAAATTTCTATTCACCAATGCGAAAACTGTTATAAAAACTGATTTCCTCAATTTTACTCAAGTGTAGCACGGGCTATTGGCAGTATCAAGTAATATATGAAGTATTACAAATGACAAATGTGTTTTAACTGGCGATTAGCATAAATTAGTTGTTAGTATTAGAGTAATGTTGTTATTCTGGCAGAACATCTAAAGTGTTATAACTTTGTGCATACACTAGATTGATAGTTATTGCCACACACAAGTGTTAGTATTAAGATCTTATTCTAAAACTCTACCAAATGCAACCCTACTTTACACAGGTATGTTATTTTGCTGACATTTATTTCTTATTAGTGAGAAACTTATTAAAAACATATATAAATAAATAATGGCTCAAGTCGAGTTCTTGGATACAATTTTGAAAGAATATTTAATATTTCGTGGATTCTCGAATACACTTAAAGCTTTAGATGCTGATCTTAAATCAGATAAAGATTTTGGTTTTCGCGCAGAAAAGATTATGGAGCAATTTAATCAGTATATTGTAGCAGGTGACCTACAAGGGCTTACCACTTTGTGGGGACATTTGGACAACTTTTTGTTTACTAAATTGGAGCATACATATTTGCAATGTATAGTAATAATTTACATTGAAAAAATTATAAGTTAATATTTTTGTATTTTTAGCTGTAAAGAAATTTGAAAGTAGTTTATATAAACTGTATTTAATAACGGCTCATACCAACAACAAACCCGACAAAATAAAAGAATTCTTTTCTAAAATGTCGGATGAATTACACCAGCAAAGCGAATGGAAGGAATGGTTTTGTAAGTTTATTTTTGTTTTAAAGTATAGTATGTAAAATAATTTTAATTTGTGTTTACATACAGATTTTCCATTTTGTACGAACCCAGAAGAATCCCCTGTTTTTTCTCCTTTCTTTACTAAACAATGGCAAGATACTTTTCAAATCTCATTAAGAAATTTTTTGTCTATGATATATCAATGTATGCCAAAACCTACGTTCGTATACGCAGAACACGAAGCAATGTTATTAAAACATCTACAAGAAGAAAATGCCACATTAAAAGCACGTATACAACAAATGCAACAGCAACAACAGTCGACAGCAAGCGGTAGTAATCCAAATCTTAATGCCACAAGTGATATCGCAACACGTAAACGTACAACATCTACAAATCCACAAACTTTAGATGACATACCTGTTGAAATTAGACCACCAAGTCCATTGCTTGATGATTTCTACGTTATAGCAACAGAGGTTAATAATATGAGACGGAAGGCTGAAGTACAAGCTCGAGGCATAAGAATGCTACTACGAGGTATGGGTGCGGATGATTCACTAGATACTAAACGTAAAGACAAAAGTGATAAAAAGGATAAACGCCGCTCAGGAAGCGCAGGCAGAAGTTGGATGTAATAAAGTTTGTTTTAAATATTTCTATAGTGTATGAGGTTAAGTAATGTAAACGGAGCTGTTATCTGTTCATAATCTATAAATAATTATGTATTAAATTTTTAACTGTCACATTAATATCTTTACATTGGATAGTTTTTTTTTTTATTTTTTGCACATGGAAAAGTTGTAGTTCATTTTTATTATTAATACATATAATTTTGTATCTAAATTTTTTTAATAGCAACGGATTTTTTTACGAATATAATACGATATTGTAGCATTCGAATAATTATTAAGGCTTGTAAATTTTAATTAAGAAAAAAATATAAAATTTATAAATAATATTAATTTTGAATATATCTGATGATATGCTCATATTTCTTTTTTCCAACTATATAAAAATTAAAATTTGCAAATACTTGTGTAAGATCTCATAGATATTAAATTCTTTTTACTTTGTGATTAACAAATTTTTGAATTAAAAACTGAATTGAACTACCACTTATATAATAAATAACGTAAATATGTATATATATATAATAATACAAACATATAAGAATACTTAGTATTTATTCCATAAAAAGTAAATATAACAAAATAAACAGTACCAATGATAAAATAATATTAAGTATATTATATATATCTCTACTAACTGCGAGGTTTTTTCATAACCGCTCTCTACGTCCTTCACTTCGTCGGACTAAACAATAACTGACATCAGAACTGCATACCAACCTGTATTGAAGAGGGTGTGTGATATGTGCACACGGTTTTAGGTTTTCTGGAATTAATCCTGGAACCACGCTCTCGTATGGTTCTTTAATAAATGACTATAAATAATTGATTGTTCCAGTTGCTGTGATTTTATCATATTCAAAGTAATGGCTAAACATAAATTTGATGAAAACTAATAGTGGTGACCGAGAATATCTAACATATATAAAATATAATTATATAAATTGTATACTTTCTGTTGTTTATTACTGAACAAGCAGTAGTCTTAGTAACGAAGTCTATTAGCCAAAAATGATGCAATTTACGATTTATCCATTTAGTACAAATAAACTATAAGAGCTAAAAAATATATTTAACATTTTAATGCTGTTTTGTCTGATAGTAACATAACTAATAAACTTATTTATAAAATTATAACAAATATATATATATATATATACATATTTATAAAGTTTATTACGATAATTTTCAAAAACTGTAATTTTTATGTTTCTCAAAAAAATTATTTTATATATATTATTTTAATTGTAGTTGTGAGAAATAAAATACTTGTATATTGTTTTTTTTTTTAATTATTACACAAAATAGTCTCTTTATTAATAAAATCTCTTTTTGTTTAAAACAACACACAATAAAATTGCACACTACACATTTATTTTTTTAATAATAACATTAAAATAGCAAAAATTTTTAAAATTTCAAATATTTAAAGCATTAAATAACATCAATAAAATTATATTTATTATATATAATATATATATAAAGATCGTTTTTGTACAACTAAAATGGCATATTGAAATTGTTCAAGCATGTTTTCGTAGAATTGTACAGATTATCACTTTGTTCAGATTTAAAATCTTAAGAGCAAATTAATTTATTAACAATTTTACAATCAAAGACTATTAATAATAAATACTATATAGAAATATTATTGTTCTTACATTATATCATAAGTTTCAAAACAACACTTTGTAATAGATCATATGCTGGAAAGGAAACCGATTTTTTTTTATTTTATTTTTTTGTAAATTTAAAAATGAAGTTCATCAACTACTAAAACTCTTGAACTGCTAATAGTTTTCAAAATTAAACGAGAAAGAAGGATATAAGGTTCCTGAATATTACAGTTATTCTAAACCTTAAATATTTTTTTTTTTTGTTTCTGAATGGTAGGTTCTGATTAGCTTTATAAAATTGATTTTCATCAGTGTGTTATATTGGATGAGAATATCTAGAGTTTGAGCTTTAGTACACAAAGTCACCATTCTATATTATCCTAACATATTATGCTAATATAAGTTCTGTGTCAATTGTTCTTGAGCTTTTTAATAGAGCACCATGTCAGCGGCTGCCGTGTGGAATCTATTTAAAAAATTGTTTGGCAATGTAAGAGCCAAAAATAGGTTGGTTTTACCGACTATTTAATGCTTATTCGCGTATTGACAGTTTTTGATTTGACAACTAAATTTGTTTATAAAGACATGATTCAGATAATAGCTACCATATTACAACTTGAACGGATGGCTAAAAACATAGCATAATACATTTCATTGAGAAAAGCCACTAAACAGTAACAAATTGCCAACTATGAAAATAGCAGAAACAGATTTCAGAGAAATTCGCTATATATAAAGTATATTTTAAAAAAAATATGTCTGAACCATCAGTTTGGGCCTTATATACAAGAAAGTCTAAGTATAGATACTCTTTAATGTGAGATAACCGAAGTCAAATATATTACCATGATTACCGGGAAAAACAGCATATTTTGCATAGAATTATTGAAAACATAAAAAGTTTCTACGAATAGAAAAAATAATGAGATGTTCTCAATTTCGGTCATTATAGAATACAACATTGTTCAGGAACGATAAATTTCGCTATACATTACTGGACCTAAGACTTACACCACAGAGTCAGTTTTATGCTGTAGAAATATTTTTTTATAATTTTCTATAAGTAGTTGCTTTAGATTTTTCTAAAAACAAAGACAACTTTTGCATCTACAAGGATATTTTTAAGAAATTTAGTCTTTTAGCAATAAGGTTTGCAAAAATCAACTTTACGTTTATTTTCGCCCATCACAGATCTCTTGTGATGACTTCATTTATTTAATCTATTTAGATTGAAATATTAATTTTCTTGTGAAATCAAGTGAAATTAAGTGCCTTTCTTAAAAACATATGCCATATTTGCAAAGTGATTCTAACGCATGCATACTTAAATTAATGATTTGCCTAAGTGTGCTTGAATTTAAAGTTAAAAATCTTTAACTACAATATACCAATGTTTTGAATAGCGTTTGCCTTTTAAAGACTACTTTCACATTCAAAACATAAAGTACAACTATACAAAAATACATTCCATACTTAAATTAATAGGTACATCAATTAATTGAAGGCTTTAAGATCGAAAATTTCGCGTAATAAGGGTTCGACTCTAACTGGATTTACATTTAAATAGACACCAATAACATTTTGATTCAGACGATCAACGTCCGATATTTTCTGTACTAATTTTATAAAATTTGATTTAGCTTCGCAGCCAGGATAAATGCTTTCTAAATATCTTCGCAGAAGATAATAGTAGGAATTCTGTAATATATAAAAAACATATCATTATTTAAAAAAAAATATTATGATAATTTATAGAAATAACATACTTGTTCCAATCTAATCACATCGGAATGTATGACACGGTCACGAGTTGGCGTAAATAATACAATGGCTAGGATGATCAACATAATATTATCATCGTTACGCCACTTTACGTCAAAGCTCCGTAGAAAATTTAAGTGTTCCTCATATAAATTGTCATTTGCCAGCTTTAAGACATCAGCATGAATGTTAGCCATACTTTCTTTTACATGTGGAATCTGTAAAAATGTAGTGTTTGAAATTAATTTATAAAATTTACATAGTAATATTAAATAAATTCACCATCCACGTGTGACGATCATAATCGTAAGTAACCACAGAACGCATAAGCATCATCTCGGTGCAGCCACCTTTAAGCAATGCCACTTGATCTTCTTGGCACATATCACGAAAAGCACTGAGCTTTTTAGCCATTTTAATGAGACGTTTTATGCCTACGGCAGTTAAGTTGATGATTTGTAATAATTTTGAATCTGTATTATCACCCGGCTAAAAGAAAGAAAAAAAAAAACAATGCGAAAATTAATAGATTATTAAAAGTATACGTTACATACGTGTATCTTTTGGTCTCAAATTCCAAAAAGCTATGACTTTTAAATGCGGATATTTTTGTTTTTAAAATATATTAACTTTTATTTCGAAAGTTTATTTTGTGTATCACGTGTAGAGATACAAAATATCTGCATTTAAACAATTTCGAAGTAACGACTCAAAAATTAAAACAAAAATATGACTTTTACTTATAATATTATTTTTTATAATTGATGATGTCCTAACTGATAAATAAATAAAAATAGCATTTTATATATATAACATGGGTGCTTGTCATAAAAGGCGGTTTAAGATCTATAAATCTATTAGGTCTACATCACCATCGTCACCTACAATTTTGGAGTATAACTGGTATCAAGTGAGTTTTTGCTTGTGACATCCAATTCTAACTATATATCTCTTATTACGGGATCCAGATGCTTACAACTTTCGTTATCCTGGACTCTATTTTTTGGCTCTATATTGAATTGTCAGGGCGGCTATAGTGAACACTTGAATTATACAGGAAGAGTTTTAGAGCTTTTCACTCATTATGGAGGTGTATTTTAGGGTGTGACTTAAAGATTACCAGAGATTTAGATGGGACTTGCTCATATAAGGAAGGTATATCCAGAAATTTAATAAATAGGTACCGGCAAAATTTTTTCGTACGTTAAAGAATTACGGTCTCAGATTGTCGATGACATGTAACTATATTGGATTGATGCATGCTGTTGAGAATCCAAACAGGACTCGATTCAAAAAGAATCTTAAGTCACAAGGATATTCTATATTTTTAAAATTTTTGAAGTATATGTATATCTGTTAATTTGATTTGTAATAATTGGAAATTGCAGATAAATATTTAGAGATCTTTCTGATTAAAAAGCACTATTTTATAGTACTATAATAGAAATTAGTAGTTATATTGCATGTAATTTAAGAACAACAATAAGTTGAATACAAAGAAAACCTGCAGAATTTTCTGAGAATCTTATGACGGGTGCATTTAGCCCAAGATTTATTTTTCACATAAATAAAAAACTGCGATCATACGTTCTGACCCTGAGCTGTGTCTAATTATAAACAATTTTTTGCTCTAGATTGCCTGTTTTGACTTTGAGATTACGACGACTCTGAATCTACCTATCTACTTAAGCAAACTGGATACATTTCCTCTACAAACTCTTTATGAGTTGCCTGACAGAAACGACTGATATGCGATGATTTTGATGTAGATCTCAAGAAGTTAAGTAAAACGATAGGTATTTTCCTTAAAATATATAAGTTGTCTCATTACAGTTTTGTAATATTCAGTTATATTTGCCGAATCTATTAATTAAATATGTACAATAGTTGCAGTTAAAAATTATTAAGATGAATGAAATAGTTTTACAGTTATAAAGTTTTTATGTCACTGCTTCCATCATGATCAAGCCCGTTTCAATGATTTGACCACTAAATTGTATAAGCAATTAAATCAGGCTCTATTAAGTATCTGGGAAGCAAAATAAAACGTACAAGTTCATTCTAAAAAAAAAGTGTCAACTAATTTAATTAAAGTTTCAATGCCCTTAATTCGAGTTCACATGTGTTTTTAGTATAACATTTTTTTTAATTTGATACAATTTTTTTTTATGAGAAAATTAAGTGATAATTGAACAAATAAATAAAATTTGATATTCTAGTAGCTTCATTGTCGCACAACAACAACAAGAAGAACAACAACAAAAACAAACAAATAAATATAACAGAATTATTAATAATAAAAAATGTGATAAAATAATTTGAATACACAAAACCGTATCGTACAGGAATGAAAATGTGTGGTTCGGGGTTTCAGCTATTCATGTGCGCCTAGTAATTGAAATGATAACTGCTGATAAATGATAAAAAATTTGATATTGTGATATCAACAGTTAAGTCAGTTAGTCTGTCAGTCGACCAGTTGGGCAGTCATAAAAACAAATAAACGTAGACAGGCTACGATAATTGTAAAGCAACGGACTCGCATGGATTAAATGACTTAATAAGCATTTTTGTAACAGAAATATAAACACAATATATAGATTATGAAACAAAGACTTACAGGTGTTCCAAGAATGTCGGACAAAAGAGGCTTTATATGTATGTGTATAGTGAAAGTTATAATAGTGGAAGTTTGGCCTGTCTCATTGTAACAGAGCTAGAGAGATTCATAGGTATTCCTGACATCTTGCGCAAATAACTTTATATGTGTATATGTAATAAAGCTAGAGAACTTCATTGATGATCCTGAAATGTTTGGCAAAAAATCACTTGTCTTGAGTAAAGAGTTAGAACATTCTTAAATGTTCTAATCGTTAGAGATCTTCTTTATAGGTTTTTCTAAAAACTTAGGAGTATGAGGGTTTTTATGCATAAACTGAGTACACAACTTCACAACTGTATCTGAATTATAGTGAAAGTAGGGTTTTATATTTGTAATTCTAACAAAGCTACATATGTATCTTTATATGTGTTTCTAAAATGTTTGACTTATGAGACTTTATATGTTTAATTGTAACAAAGCTAAAAATATTCACAGGTGTTTCCAAAATATTGGAAAGCTGAGGCTTTATATGTGTAGATGTATAAAAGCTACAGATCTTTATTTTAAATTTAGTTAATTATAACACAAATTTATTATGTTAAATTTGGGAGAAATACATTTGTTTATTAGTTTAAATAATAGTCAATGTAGCTATGAAAACATTACATCTAGAAAAAAACTGAGACATATCATAGCAAAAGCAAAAGTTTATAACGACCGATAGGACACAAAAAAAAAAATAAAATCAAAAACCATTAAGTTAAAATTTTCATTAGGCTACTCTGGTCTTACCAGAGTAAAACCATTTCATTTGTATAGTATTATTTTTCATATACTATATTATATAATATTTATTATTATTGTTATGGGATGTAGCACTGCAACCGTCGGGTCTATTGTGCGCTCTTTTGGGTTTAGAGTAGGTCTCTAAGCCCTGATACGTCAATAAAAAGCAGTTAGAACCTATTTTACTGAGTTTTATTGCCTCTTCTGTAAAGGTATACATTCCCATCTGTCTATTCCGTTTGTACATTATCTCAGGATGAATATATACCCAGCCTCGTAAGGTGGTATTTTAGATTATATAATAATAGAAAAATTAAATTTTAGTTTTATGAAATACGTGATAAGCAATGCAAAACAACAATCAACAATGCAAATGCAAAAACTATGACAAGAGAATGAAAATAGGAATAAATGATTTAAAGAAATAGGCCTTGTAATAGGTTCTTATGATCGATATTTTGGATATGTACTAATAAATAATTTTTGAAATTAATAATTTTTTTAGTTAATTCTTGATAAAATTTAAACCATCAAAAAAGTAAGTTTATTTAGTTTTCAAAAAATTTGGAATATTTATTTTATTTATTGAAACGTTTTCATTTTTGGATCTTGTTTTTTAAAATATATCCTATTTGGATTTATATGAATTTATATCTAACGAAATAGTATACTATATAGAAAAATTGCTTTTGAGATATTTTGAGGTTTTATAACAGAAAAGTTTTTTGGATATATTATTTTTCACCCTATACTTTGGTTAATATTGAAAATGTACTCCCTTCCCTTTATTTTTTTATTTCTTGTAATCATGTTAGCATCTTAAACAGATAAATGGATGCATTAAAATATTTAGAAATATCAAAAGATAAATACCATCTAACTGATAAGATTACTTTTGAATAAAAGTATTCAAATAAAAAAATAATCATTCAAAAAATATTCAAACATAATTGATTAAATATATATAATATCATCTTATATCATAGTATATCTTGAAGTTTAAATACTTTTAAAGTTATTATTGGCTAAATATATATTACATGTTACTTTTAGAAATAGTCTGCGTTTCGAATAAATCTCATAATAAAAATTTATTAAATTTTATATGCGGTCCTATGCTACATCTTGGAGTTAAAGAAATTTATATACATATATATATGTTTAGCCTTCTAACACCTACTACTTATCGATAAATACTTATGTTATGCTATACTACATACTTTATAGCATTTTAAAGTAGTTACAGTTAGTTTTAAATTATTTTTTTCTTCTTATAATATAATATATATGTACTTATAACATATTATATAGATTTAAAGTAATTATAGTTATTTGTAAAGCATTTTACTCCTTCAGAACCATGTCTACAATACAACTAACTCCAACCATTAATCTCTAGAAATGAAAGAGGACCCATAATCCCATAAACAGTAAGAACTGTACCGACAGAACTAAGGGCAGATTCTAAACTATTAGTTGACTCGCAAAACTGCTTCCATTCCGAATGTACTGTACTATAACCTTTCTCTACCTGTCGTCTAACTGTTTACCTGTTCCCCCAAACACTTAAATTCTAGCGCTCCTGATTGATTTGTAGTTCTGTTAAGCATCAAACTAGTTAGTTCCTTTTTTCTATACTATATTTCCTAATACTTCATTTAACAAACTATCTACCACCGTTCATTACCCATTTTAATCTATTCTTTTTTTACATTTCAGAGAAAAAATATTAATATGATTTAACCATTGTCAATATGATACAGTATGATTGCTGGAAATAGATTTAAAAACTCTGCTAAACCATTCGAAGTATAGATTTTCTAATTATCTTATATTTCAGATAACGAAAATGTGATGATAGCACATATATGTTTTAAGAAGCTTTAAATTCCAAACAAATGGTTTATCTAGACAGGTTTGGTTAAGTTGAAGTGATCTTGTGGCTAAAGCTCACATGATCTCAAATAGTTTAACCAGCTAACAAGTGCTCTATCGTTTGTCAAGATTAAATAATAATTTGATTTATAACCTATCAAAGAATTTTTACTTGAGAAAATCTAGTATCCGTAGGGATGCATGTCCTAATTTAAGTCTGGATTTAGTCACATACTAAGTAGTTATTTTCCACACATACGTACATTTATCCTCAATACACGTAGCAACTATTTTATTACATGGCACACTAGGTGGTACTCTTTCTATCGTTCCATACTTGCGTATTGTAATAAATCTGATTAACTCAATTGATTAAATATTGTAGCAGTGAATCAGTGAGTCAGTGAATTATTTCCTTAACTGTTATCCCCTGTGAAAGACGCAAGTGCATATTGCAATTGAAATAACACTTTCATTTACAACAACAACAGCACTTGAATTAAATTATCTGTACTTTTTTCTTGGTGTAATAATCTTACGACTACAAGAATTTATGTCACTGCCTCAATTATAGTTAAACAGTTGTTTTTATTATACAAAATAAAATTTTGAATGAAAATAATTCAACTCGGTTTATTCATGTGCGCCTAGTGCCTTTGGTGATAACCAGCAGCGCTATCATTTCATATCAGAACACTTGCTGCTGTGTTTACTTGCGCGCAGGTGTTTCCACTAAAATGAATGAGCGTTTTTTGTTTACTCAATTGATAAAGAGCAACGGTAGATAGTCGTCTACGGAAAGTGTAGATGATAAAGTATTTCCTTTATAGGAGCACTGATAAAATATTGTGTGTGTGAACATTTGTAACATAAGCACTTAAACAAATTTATAAAGTACATTATTGTATAAATAATGAATGATATTGCATGTCTGCAATCATTGCAGAAACTTCATGGTACAATTTAAATATTATGTGTACTTGCTGATACTGATACTGATACAGTCATTATATCTTTTTCGGCAATTCTGTTAGTCATAAACTAATATCGCAAATATTTTTAGCTATTTTATGTTGTGGGATGACTTGAAAAAAGATATAGAATATAGTTGTGGAGCAGTTGCTTGACTCATGCACTTCATTAGCACAGGTGCGCAGGTGTTCAGTGCTAGGTAAAAGTGTACTTATCATAATTATGCGATTAGATAATTATAAGATAAATAGTCCCAACAATACAAATATATGATTAAAAATAGTTGATTCGAAAACATTGTCTTATCTTTATTTAATTTGTTAAATATTTCACTTACTCTTGGTGGCCCGTCTCGGTTTACTAATAAACTGATATCATGGTTAACAGGGATGTATAATGCTTCGCTAGCTATGCGTAATTCACGTAATTTATGTTGTTCTGCCTCATTTAAGTCCCTCCCCACAATTATGTTTGAAGGCGAGGATATTTGTTGCTGTGGCAATCTTTGTGGCTCCATCATTGAATCGTCGAAGTCGTGCGGATGTCCACACATAAGGTGGGCACCATATTGTTCTTGCTTAATTCTTTCCTGTGGGGAGCTATTTAAAGCTAAATACTCTATTCGTATTACCTCCGATAGTACGGATTCGAATGAGTTCATACTGTCGCCGAATCCAGTGCTTTCAGCAAAAGTATTTTGCATAAGACTTTTAAAGTCAAAATGTTGACTATCAAATTCTGCCTCGTGTGTAATATTGGCAGGTGAACTGGTTAACAAAGTAGTCGAAGTGCTTGGAAATTCTTCTTGCGGTAAACTTAATGGCGAGTTGTATTGCAAATCATTCGTTGTAATAGAAATTGGTGATGTTAGCGACATGGCTTGTGGTGATGGTGTAAAAGGAGTAACTATAGGTGGTGGTGGTATTGTTGTATCATAGGGCGGAGTGTGTGTTGTTAAATCTCTTTCACTGGGGCTGCTGTCTAACATTTTGTTCAGCAGTGTATTGTCTGTAATGGGTGAATCAACTTGCGATTGTGGTGATATGGGTAAATGGAATGGTGATGTATTTTCTAAAACAACTGCTGGCGGTGTGTCGTTATTGTTATTATTATTGTTGTTTTTATTTTCACTACTCGCTGCTGGTGCATTGCTACCGTTAAAGATTTTATTTATCATTTTCAATGCTTCTGCTGGTGTGTTCATAAACTTATTCATTATATGTAAAGCATCCTCTGGTGAATCCATTAAATTGCGTATAAATTGTAGTACGTCTTGTGGTGAATCAACAATTTTGGATATAATTTCTAAAGCATCCGTAGGCGAGCTCATAAATTTTGTAAAAACATTTAGCGCATTAAGTGGCGAATTCATTAGTTTGCTTATTATTTTCAATGCATCACCTGTAAAAATAAAATAATATTGAAATATTTTATAAGACTCTTTTATATGAATTGTTCTTACCTGGATAGGCTATCAAATGTTGTATAAGTTTTAGTGCATCTTTCTGCGAATTAATAATTTTTTCCATAGTTACCATAGCCTCCTTGGGTGTGCGCATAAACTTACTTATAGCCTGTGATGCTCTGTCGGGGTCCCGTACTATAAACTCTACCATTTCTTCACTAGTCATCAGCTCAGGATTTATTTCTTCTCGCGCTATTACACTTGTAGGTGATGATGATGTCGTGCTGTTGGCCGCACATTGCACATTGTTATTTGCTGATGCACTATCAAATGAGCAACAACTTTGCGAATCTATAGATGTATTTGCATCAATGCCACTACTGTCGGCTGCCTGCTGTTGCTGTTCTGGCTTCTCTGTTTCGATTTCCTTAATATTTTCATCTGTGTGATGTTTTTGTTCATTCAAACGACGCTTTTCACGGTTACTTTCTATTTTTCGTCGCTTAATAAGTTTATCTTCCTCAGTCATAATATTTTCGCTCTTCATGCCTATGTCGACACATTTTTTTAAACGACATTTCTGACAAAATCGCCTTGTCACCACGGTTATTTCACAGTTTTGGCTGAACGGGCACGTGAAATGCTTCTTGGCTAAGGCATTACGTCGAAAAAATGCCTTACAGCTCTCACATGTTACGGCATTGAAATTATATCCTAATGCTTTGTCACCACACACAGCACAGACTTTTGGAGGCGACATCGTTAAATATAGTACTTATCCAAATCTTACTTTGTTTTTATATTTTTTGTTATATTAATTAGTCATATTGTTTACATGATAAGCGTAATAAAAATAAATTTTTACTTAATAAGCATTTTCAACCACTCTGCCTCTTCCACGGTGATTTAACTATTCTTTCTTTAAATCTTTATCACAACATTAATTAATTCATCAAATTTCCCATAAAAATAACTTCACAGCGATGATAGCACTCAACTAGTGCAAAACAACTGACCTTCGATAGTTATCGATTAATGCGTTCGTTTTTTTGGTAAGAAAATCTTTTCACATAGAATAATAAGAGCTCGTATAAATTTATATATTTTGGCCGTGTGCGAGTTAGGCTAAGTTGATGCTAAACCAAATGGGAGATTTTTTGGGATTTTTTGCACTGCACACATTTTGCCATTTATCAACACGTATCGACACATCAATACATTATCGACACAACTTGGAATTTCCCTCATTTAGAACGCAACTTAGCCTAACTCGCACACGACCTAAATAAATTGATGGCAAATTGAGGGAAATAGTAAATTATGTCGGTATGGCAGCGATTTTTCGTATTTACCAGAATTTCGAGTAGGGTAAATTATATAAAAATTAGGTAAATTATGTATTACCATTGCGAAAATTGTAAAAGATGTTTAATATATAAATAAACAAGTTTGAAAACTTTTAACCAAAAATAATAAATAAGTGCAATAAATAAATTAATAAATATTTGTATGAGTGCAGTGCAAAAAATCCCTAGGAAATTTCAATTTACTTAACCTCAATTTATTCGAACTCAAACACAGCCTTATTATATACACAAACATGAATGTAGCAGTTAGACGAAGGGGATGGAGATAATACTTCACAACAAAAATTTTATATTATTATTTATGTGCTTTTCATTAGTTCATAACAAATGTATTTGTATATGGGATAGTGCATAGAAAACAAACCCGTCTAACAAAAAACTATTTAAAAAAGCTCACTGAAACAATTATATATACGAGTAAAACAGTTTTTAGGAGTCTATGCGTTTCGTAGAAATGGACATGCGGTTAGAAATGGTGTTAAAATACTTCCATAGAGTTAAATTTCAGGGAACTTTAAGAAGTGCTGAAATAAATCTCAGTTTATTTTGAGGGTTTGAAAAAAGCTAAATATGTAGTTGTTTTTAATTTTTGTAGATTTAATAATTCTAAAGAATAATTGTATCTTAAATACTTTTCACATATTTGAATATCTGTTAAAATTTTTTTTTTATTTGGATTATAAAACACTAAAATTTTCGTAATACTAACTTTCACGAATGTAAAGAAGATAATTGGATTAGATTGCAAATAATAACTTTCGTCTGAACCACAATTCGTTTTATATTTAGATAATTAAGTATAATAAGTGGAACTTTGGACTTCTAGAATAATTTCTAAAATGTCTCCTTAATAAGTTCTTTATTAAGTGCGCTAAATTTGTCAAGAACCTTATCTGTTACAGCTCTATCTCATCGCCCCCAATTACACTTCGCCGTATAGGTATGCATATTCATAAATTGGAAGTTAATAATAATTATTACACGTTACCAATATCGCAATTAACTTGAGAAATACATGGCAATAAATGCCAATTTTTATTCAAATGTAATATAATGTGGAAAGTTTTCATTCTATTCCTGTATTTTTTTAGATCCTATCAAATTTTTATAGTCTACCTATGGACAGATGGTAATCAAATAAATCAATATTATATAAAATATGAAGGCAGTGCTAATTACTTATCATAAATTCATTATAATAATACATGTCAGAAACGTTGAGCTTTCAACCTCAATGGATTTTAGAGGTTACAGTGCTCTTCCTTCAAATACTTTTTAATTACAGACGATTTAAATAATTTAAATACATATATGCGGGGCTTTAATAGATTTCGCTGAAATAAAGACTTAAAAACTTAAACAGTTCTTCATACAAGATTAGATGATTCGCTTTGCATTTCGTTACAATTGCGCGTTTATGGAGTCATAACAAATTTACTACTTGGTAAAATAGTAACACATATCTATACAGATGTTTATTGTGATTTGTAGAAAACACGTACAAAACAATTTGTTGATTATATGTTTACAAAATTAGGAGTATGATTTTTAACCTATTTTGTACTATAATTTACAATAATAATATTGACAATAATATAATATTGACAATAATAATATTGATTTAATTGTGCAGCAATTTGATCGAAAGTAACGGATGAAGTACAAGATTATGACTAAATGGACGCCACTATTACTATATTCATTTATAAATTAAATTATATTTCAAAGACACATAAAAATACGAAATTAAATGTAATATCTTTGTTTTAAAAAAATTGTATTAAAATATTGAGTTATACATTTTTTTCCTAGTATTGTCTTCACTAAACCAAGCGCCATAGGTTTAGTCTCAGTTCACCTTATATTGTTTGCATACGCGACAACATTTATTGCTTAGCCTTTTTCTTGAGACTTTCTATGTAGATACCCAATCCTTTTTGTACACTTGGCTGATTAATGAAAAAAAGAAAAGCTTCCAAATCGTTGTCGCGTTCATCTTCAAATTGCTGCAAATCTTTTTGTCTAAACTGTTGTTTTGTCAAAGATCTGGCAAATGGATTGACCTTTTCAAAAGTTTGTATAAATTTTTGGCATTCAAAAATAGCTGCAGATTTGTTTTCAGTAACAGAATCGATAAGGCCAACTCGTAAAGCCTCATCAGTGGTAAACATTTTTCCTTGTGTTAATGCCATCTCAGCCTGTCGGACCGGTAAAACGTTTAAAAATGTGGCCATAAACCATTTAGGTGCAACAATTCCTAATTTGGTTTCATTTAAACCTATTGTGAAATTTGGTAACATAGTACGGAATTCGCAAGCCGTCGCTAGCAAACAGCCACCAGCTGGAGAATGTCCCTACAATGAAAAAAAATTATTAATAGTATTTAAATATTTTTATATTAATATTTTACATTAATTGCAGCTGCAGTCGGTATTCCAGATCCATACAATGATAACCAAGTGTCTTGTAGAGCTATCCAAAATTTCCGCACACGATCTTTGTCAGGTTTGTACATTTCCATTATATCCAGGCCAGCTGAGAAAATACTATTCGATGACTATAAAATAAATAATAATATGAAACTAAACAATTAGAAAACAATAAAACTGATTTTTTAAATACAATTATTTCATTTCCTTTTGTATTTATTATAATAATTATGTTTTGATATATCAAATTTTTTTTTATTTGATGCAGTTAAGCAGTTTTATTGATATTACATATGTACATACCTCTCCCTTTTTAAAATATCTTTGTTTCTTGAGTTTTTAGACGGCAAAATATTGGTTAAGCATTATTTTAAGAAATATATTTACCGATGTTAGTATTAATCCACGAGATTTGTTAGATTCAATAGTATCGATAGAAGTTTTAATATCCTGCAATAACTCCAAGTTTAAGCCATTAACCGGTGGCCTATTCATAGTTAAAATAGCAATACCCGATTTATCATCAACTTCTACTGTAGTTAACCCATGTCCAACGGACATTTGACGTGCTCGCATCAAAGGAACAGCTACCTTTCTGCATAGTAAATAGGCGTTGCGTTGCATTGTAAATTAAAACTATTTACGTATCGCTGCAATTATGTACCACACAAAATTGGACTATGTACTTTAATTGAAAGAAACTACAATAACAACTCTCTGCTCTTTACAAAATATATTTACAATTCTTAAATCACTTGCGCACAATTATAAACGTTGGTATGGAGGACAGGGTTGTTTCAAGTTTGTAGTTCAAAATGTATGAACTAATTTACAATATTTAGTTTAAAGTAATAAACATCTTGTACAATTTTTATATATATATTATAAAGTGTTTTAGTTTAATTTAGTAGTTTAAAGTGTTTTAAGAACGAAATAAGTTTATGTAGCTAATTTTCATAATTTAATTGTGTACGTCATTATACGTGGGTTAATGTATTAATGGGTTATTTACCAATAATAAGAATTACTTTCAAATAAAAATTTTAATAAATAATAAATTATTATTTTTTAATTATTAATTATATAATCTATAATTAATTAAAAAGAGAATAAATCGATGTAAACAAAAATAACAAAATAAATCTACCTACATTTGCATATGCGAACATGACATGACAGTTTAGTAAACACAATAAACACAGCCTTTACTTCGGTGTCATTTTGACAATCCAATAAATTTTTACATTTAATGAGCTCGTTCCTCTTTACTATTTTAATTAATTTTTAAATTAAAAAGAATCTAAAATGAGTAACCGCGTCAAAGCTCGTGAAGTAAAACCAGGTGAAGTGGTTGCATATAGCGAATACAATATTCGTAGCAATTTATCAGCAGTAGAATACTGTCGCACATCTACTGCTGCAATTTCTGGTTCCGTAGCAGGTAAAATTAAGGAAAATTGTATGAAAATTAAATCACAACAATTTGTTTTTAGGCATATTGGGATTAAGTGGTTTAATTGGATTTTTCTTTTACTTCTTGACGGTTTTCTTGTTATGGTTGCTCATACTATTTAAATCTGGTACACAGTGGCGCAAGTATTTTATTAATAGGCAAAGTTTGCTGACCAATGGCTTCATGGGCGGGCTTTGCACATACGTACTATTTTGGACATTTTTATATGGCATGGTGCACGTTTATTGAGTGTTATTAGTATGTAATAAAATTTCTAAATAGATGTAGTTCAATATTTTTTTTTTGAATAATAAACTGATTTCTTTTTATTTATAAAATTTATTTCTACTTAATTGGCTCTTCTGCTGCAGCAGCAGCGGCGATACCTGAACAATCACACCAAGGAGTATTATTTAAATTGCATTCTAATAAAATATTTAGCACAGTTATTGTTATTCCATCTATACTTAATTGATGAATTTTCGAGATTTTATACTCTAATGTACTTAGACCCGTTTCACGGTCTCGTTTTCTAGTAACTTCCTTTTGATTAAAGCACTTCTGTGTATCACGCTTACGATGGTAACGATTGTGTATATGACTATAAAAAAATGTATATTGAATTGTGGAATAAATAAAAAAATTCTAATATTTACTTGAATGTGTTATTGATTCCAGTCTTAATATTATGTGGTCTTGTCACTTGAAGTCCGGCATCTCTTATACGTACATAAAATTCATCATCTTCAAGACCCCAACCCCAGTATTTATTAGACATGCCATTCATTTCTTCGAAGTGCTCTCGTCGCACCAATAATATACCACCAACGAATGTTTCATAATGATATTTAGGATGCAATTCCGGTGCTGCAATATGTAAGGGTCCCAAATCACTGGGATATTCGTAATGTAGGTCTTCATTTAATGGCAATAAATCAACATCATGCATAGCTATATAATCATAAACGTCACGTGTAAAACGGAAGCCTACATTTATCAGAGAAGCACGGTTAAAACGATAACGGTCCACTTGATTCAACACAAATATATGATGAACAACACGTTGTTTTTGTAAAAATCGTGTTATATTAGGCACAAATTGTAGCAATTCTTCAAAACGGTCGCGAAATGGTACTAGTATGGCCAATTTATGTTCAGGCATGTCAAAAGGCGGTTGTGTCACGCTTTGTAACGCTTCGCTGTTTTGAAAACCACTTTTTTTCAGTGGACATATGCAATCTGCAAAAAAAATTTTCATTATAAACGAAAGAAAGTTGTGTAAACTACAATTTTACCAGCACTTAATGGCATTAGATTTAAAACAACCACACCACCTAGACAAAAAGCTAAGCCGCAAACGAAGAGCCAGTTGATTGTTGCCAAGTTCACCGTCTTCGCCATTTCCGTTGTAATTTAAATAAATAATTTTCCAATATTTTAGATAAGTTTAATGCGGTTACGTTTTCATTTTAAAGGAATACTTATTTAGACGCAGGGAAGGAACATGTTAATGTGTTTGTTACTGATTTGGGGTAATATTTAATTTTAGCTCTATTTTGACATTTCTTACAGCTGATTTTGTTGCTATTTACAATGTGTTATCGATATTTGCATAAAAGTCGTTGCTAGTGATGAAGAGTTGATAAATTTTGAATATTAAGACACTGTGATCGATATTGTGGTGAATAATAATGGCGCCACAATACAGATCATGGAAGCTTTTGCACATTTGTTCAAATTTTGTGCGCGATAATTAGTAAAATACAGTTTAAAGTCTTACAAGTGTATAAAATCTAAAACAAACAAATCCAATAAAAAAATTTTAAGCGATTAAAATCTAAAACAAACAAATCTACTAAAAAAAATTTTTTAAATATACATATTTAATAAATAATATTAAATATTTATAATATTATTGAGGTAAGACGACTTATATGAGTTATGTTAAGTCAAATTACAGAATCCCCCATAGTTGCAATTGTTTTAACATTTAAATAAATAGATTTCTTTTATCGAAGTAAACTATGATATTTTTTAAAAATAATTTAAAATAAATATAATACACTAAACTGAATGCTAGAATTAATAGTTTCAACAAAAATTTAAGTTTGTGTTGCATTCGCAATTTGCATTAATTTCACAATGAATCTGGATGAAGACTTAGATTACGAACCAAATCGTTTCGATCGGGATGAGGTTATCGCACTTTGCAAGGCAACTATTGACAATGTGCTTGGTGAATATATATTTGACTCCAATCTGGCTCCAAACTGGAATACTAAAATTAAACACACAATTTTGAAGGAAATAATTAAACAACAAAAGCCTTTCAAGCATTGTATAACTTGTTTGATTATGCAGAAAAATGGTGCCGGGATACATGCCGCTAATTCTGCTTATTGGGATGTGGAGACTGATGACAGTATTTCCGTACGTTGGGAGAGCGACCACATGTACTGTATGGTTTCTGTGTTTGCCTTTGCTGTATGAGATATTCTCTCTATATGGGTCTAAGGATATATTTTATTATAAATATAATTCTTACTATTACAAATCTTTTACAAAAATATTAAAGTTTAAATTTTTTAACCATTATTTTGGTATTCTCTATTATGATCCGTTGGACTTAATTTGGAGAGAGTCAAACAATATGTCTATGGTTTGACTGAAATAATTCTTTTCGACCTACATTATTAATGCTTATATCAAATACTAAGGATAGGTCATCAACGTTTCAAACTACTATAATTCTTTGTTTTTCGAAAATAAAAGTTTAAATAAATGAAATTTTGTATATTTGCTTGTTTTGTTTTCATAAATCATGTCAATTTAAACTATTTCTGTTAGTCATCGAACTGAAAAACCCAAATATATACTCAACGTGGGTTGACATTATTAATTTGGAACAATGGTGAATAGTAATTATCGCTGTTTACGAACTTTATGGGTTGATATAGTAGTTCATGAACAAAAGAGAAAGATTATTTATAGGAAAGAAGAAGAACAAAGTTCGTCTTACATCCTGGAAAAGCAATAAATATTGGATTGATCTGCTTAATTTACTGAATGCTCTTTGTTGATTATTCGTAAGAGGTGCTTTAGAAAATTTTAAAGGCCTAAGTGAGGCGTGCAACAAAAAAGTTTAATAAACAATGCTCAACAATTACATACTGGATATCTGCTGCTGAAGATTAGCAGTATTCTACTGATAAACATTTAGTTAATTTAAAGGTTTTAACTACTATTATGAGCTTCTAAGTTAATACGAAAAGCCGCTTTTGGTAAAGGAAATAGTTTGTTATATATAGTTAATTAGGCACCAAATTTGTGTTGACGAGAAGAGTAGAAGAGTAGAGTAGAATAGACAATATAGACTTGATAATATAGACTTGATTGATCCGTACCCATGTCAATTTTAAGTTCTCAAAGGTAGTATTACTGTCATATGCTTTTCGAAAATCTTTGGATATAGACTTTTCATAGAGCTATATCCGTATTTTAATTTCTATCTGGAGAACAATTGTACTATCCCGACAATTTCATCCAAACTTTGAATATAAATAAATAAATAATGTATTTGTTTTTTATACGGGGTTTACATAGTTTTTTTGTTTTATACTACTGAAGATGCTCTATAAGGTAGACCTAAATATCTGTTATAAACAAGAAAACTATAGTTTTTGTTTACAATTTGTAAATAAAATTAGTGTTTTTATTTACATTATTTAAAGTAATATAAACTATAAATAACACTAACGCCCGGTAAAAAAAAAACACATACATTATAATCGCAATGCTAAGAATAGGAAGCTGTTATATAACCAAATAATTCGACCGTTACTTCTATATAGATGTGTAGCGTTTAGCAAGACCTCAAACACTACTACTCGCCAGCTAGATATTACACAAAGTCAGGCTCTGAGAAGACTTTTGCAGGATTCTGAGAAGGTACCATCTTACATTACGACGAATAACATCCCCAGGAACTTCAAGAATGATCGGATCAAAAAATTCACAAAGGATATAACCCTGAAATTATTTACGAAAACTGACAGTATTACCAACAACGCGCTATCGAATCTCAGAATGGTTACAGAATGCTCTTAGGTGAGGTATGTAGATCTGAGGTTAATTATTGTTTAGTCTGATGAAGTGATAAACAATAATCCAGTCAAGGCGTAGAGAGGGGTTATGCAAAAACTTCGCAGTTAATAAAGATTAAAAGTGCTCACCTATCCTCAACATAATAATAATAAATTATTAAGGTCGTTACTGAAATTTACAAATATATATATATCAATAAAAAAATTTTTTTTATTTTTATGCCGGATACATTATTAATAGAAGGTAAGCTCAAAAGAATTAAGTAATAAGAACAGTTTTATTTTTATATTCATTTTTGTATTTATTATTTCTCTTGTTTAAAACAGAATATATAAAAAATTATATTATAATTAATATTAATAATGATTACATCTAACACATTGATTTTAAGATTTGCATATTTAATATCTACAATTGCATGCGTTTTATGCCAATTTTGTTTGCTTTGTTTTTTTTTTGTCTTTCATTTTTATTACATAATAAGCAAATTTTTTAAAATATTAATATTTATAAATATATTTCTTTTATAATATTTAAGCCTATTTTCACTTATTCAAAAGTAATTGTTGCATAAGTATAAAAATTAAAAAAATTGGAAATAATTTATAAAGAAAATATTTGCGAAAAAACACAAGAGCTGCTAAAAGATATATATTTTTTATATATATTTTTATGTATATAAATAAAATCTTAAAATTTTAATTTATTTATTGTATAAAAAAAAAAATAATTTTAATTATTACAATCTAATTTAAATACTTAAATACTAATTTTAAAATTTAATTTAAAAACTAGTGTTGTGCGTGTTTTTTTTTTAATTTTTAATTTTTAAAATTTTTACATATTTTTGCAGTAAATGCAAACACTTAAGCTCAAGCGACTGAAAGGCATTTTCAATACATAAATCATTATTTATTTATTAATTATAAAAGTGCACAATAATTAAAATTAACTTTAAAGTAGATTTAAAATTATAAAAAGTGAATTAATTATTTATTTACTAATTATGACGTTTAATTTTTACGCTGCCTTCAATCAGTCGAGCTAAAGTGTGAAAATAGTTTATTACCGTAAAAAAGTTTATAAAAAATAATTGCAACCTACTTAATAGTACGTGTACGTTTAGTAACTACTACATACCTACGAGTAAGTAAACATTTTTTATATATTTTTTAAATAATTAAGTTTAAATTATTAATGTTAGTTGAAATAGTATTTTGGTTGTTTTTCTTTTAAATTGAAATTTATAAGAATATGGCAAGGAATTTAAAAAAAGAATTAAAATTTATGTTTAAAACTTACAGATATCTGCCATTCAGTTGTGGTGGCATGATCCTGTAATATGAATTGATAATCTTCCGGAGCAACTATTTTTAGAGGGAAATATATATACTATTCCAACTGGTCTTTCCGTTACAAGTTTAACATACATTTTGTGCATATAATATCGTTTATACAAAACACGCAATAAAAACGTTCTTATTACTAAGTTATTTTGCACAGTGTATTCCACTGAGATTCTCAATTATTAAAATTTTTATATATTTAAAAGTTGCTTTTAAAACTAGTTTCGTTCGTTTTGGAGTATAAAAATTGCATTTATTTGATATAAAATAAAAGAAAAAAATTTAGAAATTTTGTTATCGTTAGGAATTCGTTGCTCTTATAATAAAAGGAGACTAGAAGCAACAATATAAAATTATTTGAATACATTTATATATATGTATAATAATAAATAAAATACAAAAATAATAATAATAATAAAGAATACACATATACAAATAAATTTATTGCTATAATAAATTAAAGGAAAAAATATAGTAAATATAGAGAGCATTAAATAGTATACATTTTAAAAATAGTGATCGACCGTTATAGTGATCCAGCGATCTAGCGATCATTTAAGGATCTTAAGGATCTTTCATAACGTTATTCTTTGTGGCATTATAGGGTCGCATAGTGAATTTTATTATTAGATTGAGTCTCTTGAATAAACGGTTCAGTTTCATCTTACAATGGCACAAAGAACTACGTTACAAATAGATAAACTTAAAGCAGGAAATTCACATATAAATTTACACATACATAAATAAAATATTAATTAGGTTTTCCTTAAAAAAAAAATTTCCTTAAGTGCGTTTTAATTACTTGTAATTGCACTTATACTTAGTATAAAGTACAATATCACTGGTTGGCTTCAACTAAGCTAATTAAAAGGAAAATTATTAAAATCAAAAAGTATATATGCTAAATAATATAAATAGTTTTTATCTTGATTTTTCCGTATTCGTTAGTTTTCTTTTTTAGTAAACATATAAAATTTTTTTAATTTTTCTTTTGGCACCTTTAATGCAGAATCGCATTATTATCATTATTTTTTTCTAATTTTTTTTCAATATAATTAACTTGTTTAATTTAATAATTTGTTTTAATTAGCATTTTGAACAGTTCATCTCTTTCTGCCGGCTGCTACAGCGGCCATAACTTGTTGCATGGTTGGCTCTGGAATGCAGGCTTGAGGGTCGCACTTCATCTGTCCATCACCGCCGCAACTAAAAAATCCATAAACATTAGTTTATTATTAATTTAAATACAAATTTAAATAAATTTAAATATATTAAAAAAAAATTAAACAAAATTGATTTTTAATTTTACTGACCTGCAATTAATGCATGGACCACTCTTCGATTCGATTCTTTCACCGACTTTATATGATTTTCCATTAATTTGACAACCATTGCGCTCCACAGCACCACCATATGAATGATGTAGGAAATGTGGTGGTAATGTTGTGCTTGTTGTTGTTGTGCTCGTTGTAATATTTAATACAGTTGCCATTGATACGGGACACTCATATCTTGGACAACAGAAGCCACTAATTGGTTCTTCGTGACATCCAGCAATTGGTGGCGGGCAAGATTGTTGCAAACAGATGATATCGCTTCTAAAGCAGAAGCAAAAGTCGCAAGGATCATCGCGTGGTATTTGTTGGGCTGAAACATATAACTTGCCACCATAACGGCAAGTGCCAGGTCCAAATACTTCTGTTTCATCTTCATCTGTATATTCATCTTCTGAATATGATGGATATTGTGATGAGGGACCGTAATGTGGTGGTGGGGGTGGATAGTGTGAAACAGGAGCTTGTGTTGGTGTTTCGGTGGTTGTTGTTGTTGTGCTCGCAGTTGATGATTCGGGTTGGTAATCAATTGTTGGTTCTGTGACATTTGCAGTGTCGATTTTATGTTCAATTTCGGTAGCGCTGGTACTAGCCGGATATAATGATGTTGCAGTTGTTGCTTCAGGTTCAACCTCTTTGTGTTCAGTGCTGGTTTCATCTGCGATTTCTTTTTCATCTTCCTTGCTTGGAGTTTCAGCAATAATATCAGTCTTATCTTCCTCTTCAAGAACAGGTTTGATTGTGCTTGGCTCTTTATGTACATCTTTCTGAATATCCGCTTGGGACTCTTTTTCAATATCAGGTTTCTCAGTGCTATCGACAGGTTTTTCTTTGTCTTCTGTATCCATTTCAGTGTCGGTAATTGTTGGGGCAGTTGATGATTCAGTACTTGATGTGACGTCCGTACCTTGCGTAGTTGGTACAATTGGTTCGTGTAAGTCTTCACCCTCATCTTCAGAGCTTGACTCAGTTTCTGGTTTTATTTTATCTTCAGGCTTAGCTGTGGTATCCACTCTTTCAGTCACAAATTGTGCAATGTGTTGTGCAATGTGTTCAGTTGTTGTTTCTTCCTCAGACTCTACAGACTCCTCAGATTCTTCAACTGAGTTCAAATCTGCTACCACAGGTTTACCCTTAACAGGTTTTTGCGATTCTAGATCAGTTATCTTTTGTGTGCTTATTTCACTTTCCGTAGGCTCCGTTACAGTTGCATCTGTAGCAGTAGAAACCGGAATGCTTGTAGATGTTTCAATTGCTTGTGGTTCAATCTTTGCACCAGAAACAAGTTCTGGTTTATGGTCAAAATGATCAGCAGGTACTATAGGTGTGACATCTTCAAACGTTTCTTCTCCAACATCTTCTGTAGTAGATGAATCAGCTGGTGGAGCAACAGTTGTCGCATCCTTATGTTCTTTATCAGGTATTTCAGAAGCAGGTGATATAGGGATAACTTTATCCAAAGATTCTTTTTCAGTGTCATTAGTTGCAGGAGCAAAAGTGTGTGCCAGTGCTTCATCAATATGTGGTTTTTCTCCTTCGTCTTCACTACCGGGAGCAGCAGTAGGAACTAAAGTATCATCTATATGTGGTTTTTCCTTTTCTTCTTCTAAAGTTGAAGGAGCAATGGTTTGCGCTATTGTGTCATCGATATGTGGTATTTCTGGTTTATCTTCTTCTCCTTGTTCCGTACTTGAAGGTGCAGTAGTGTGAGCCAATTTTTCATCAACATATGGTTTTTCTTTTTCTCCTTCTTCTTCTTCTGAACTGGATGGAGCAACGGTATGAGCCAATGTTTCATCAAGCTGTGTCTTATCTTCTTCTTCCGCACTCGATGGAGCAACAGTATGTGCCGGGGTGTCATCGATATGTGGTTTTTGTTCTTCTTTTTCTGTAACTGAAGGTATAGTGGTATGAGCGAATAAATCATCGACGTGTGGTTTTTCTTTTTCTTCTTCCTCTGTGCTTGATGGAGCCACTGTATGGGCCATTGAGTCATCGACGAGTGGTTTCTCCTTCTCTTCTTCTTTTTCTGTAAGTGAAGGTGAAGTAGTATGAACCAATGTATCGTCCAAATGTGGTTTTTCTTTTTCTTCTTCCTCTTCTTCCCCGCTAGATGGAGCAACAGTATGAGCCAATGAATCATCGATAAGTGGCTTTTCTTTTTCTTTTTCTTCTTCATCTTCTTCAACATGAAGTTTCTCTTCTTTCTCTGTACTTGAAGGTGTAGTAGTATGAGCCAATGCTTCGTCGATGTGTGGTTTTTCTTTTTCTTCTTCTTCTTCTTCTGAACTTAATGGAGCCACAGTATGAGCAACTGTTTCGTCGATGTCTGGTTTTTCTTTTTCTTCTTCTGATGTTGAAGGAGCATGGGTATGAGCCAACATTTCGTCGATGTTTGGTTTTTCTTTTTCTTCCTCCTGCGCACTTGGTGGAACAACAGTATAATCCAATATTTCTCCAGCATGTGGACTGTCTTCTTTTTCAGTGCTTGATGGTGTCTGTTCTTCTTTTTCTGTAATTGAAGGTACAGTAGTATGTGCCAATGTTTCGTCGATGTGTGGTTTTTCTTTTTCTTTTTCTTCTTCATCTTCTTCTGAACTTGATGGAGCCACTGTATGAGCCAATGAATCATCGATATGTGGCTTTTCTTTTTCTTCTTCTTCATCTTCTTCTATACTTAATGGAGCTACAGTATGAGCCAAAGAATCATCGACATGTGGTTTTTCATTTTCTTCTTCTGTACTTGATGGAGCCACTATATGAGCCAATGTATCATCGGTGTGTGGTTTTTCTTTTTCTTCTTCATCTACTTCTGTAGTAGATGGAGCCACTGTATGAGCCAATGAATCATCAACATGTGGTTTTTCTTTTTCTTCTTCATCTTCTTCTGTACTTAAAGGTGTAGTAGTATGAGCCAATGTTTCGTCGACATGTGGTTTTTCTTTTTCTTTTTCTTCTTCATCTTCTTCTGAACCTGATGGAGCCACTGTATGAGCCAATGAATCATCGATATGTGGCTTTTCTTTTTCTTCTTCTTCATCTTCTTCTATACTTGATGGAGCTACAGTATGAGCCAAAGTATCATCGACATGTGGTTTTTCTTTTTCTTTTTCTTTTTCTTTTTCTTCTTCATCTTCTTCTGTACTTGATGGAGCCACTGTATGAGCCAATGTATCATCGGTGTGTGGTTTTTCTTTTTCTTCTTCATCTTCATCCTTTTCTGTAGTAGATGGAGCCACTGTATGAGCCAATGAATCATCGATGTGTGGTTTTTCTTTTTCTTCTTCTGTACTTGAAGGTGTAGTTGTGTGAGCCAATGTTTCGTCGATGTGTGGTTTTTCTTTTTCTTTTTCTTCTTCATCTTCTTCTACACTTGATGGAGCCACAGTATGAGCCAATGTATCACCGATATGTGGTTTTTCTTTTTCTTCTTCTTCATCTTCTTCTGTACTTGATGGAGCCACTGTGTGAGCCAATGTATCATCAACATGTGGTTTTTCTTTTTCTTCTTCATCCTCTTCTGTACTTGATGGAGCCACTGTATGAGCCAAAGTATCATCGATGTGTGGTTTTTCTTTTTCTTTTTCAACTTCATTTTCTTCAGCACTTGATGGAGCCACTGTATGAGCCAATGTATCATCGACATGTGGTTTTTCTTTTTCTTTTTCTTCTTCATCTTCTTCTGTACTTGATGGAGCCACTGTATGAGCCAATAAATCATCAATGTGTGGTTTCTCTGTTTCTTCTTCTGTACTTGAAGGTGTAGTTGTGTGAGCCAACGTTTCATCGATATGTGGTTTTTCTTTTTCTTCTTCATCCTCTTCTGTAGTAGATGGAGCCACAGTATGAGCCAAAGTATCATCGACATGTGGTTTTTCTTTTTCTTCTTCATCCTCTTCTGTACTTGATGGAGCCACAGTATGAGCCAAAGTATCATCGATATGTGGTTTTTCTTTTTCTTCTTCTGTACTTGAAGGTGTAGTTGTGTGAGCCAACGTTTCATCGATATGTGGTTTTTCTTTTTCTTCTTCATCCTCTTCTGTACTTGATGGAGCCACAGTATGAGCCAAAGTATCATCGACATGGGGTTTTTCTTTTTCTTCTTCTGTACTTGAAGGTGTAGTTGTGTGAGCCAAGGTTTCATCGGTGTGTGGTTTTTCTTTTTCTTTTTCTTTTTCTTTTTCTTCTTCATTCTCTTCTGTAGTAGATGGAGCCACTGTATGAGCCAATGTATCATCGACATGTGGTTTTTCTTTTTCTTCTTCTGTACTTGAAGGTGTAGTTGTGTAAGCCAATGTTTCATCGATGTGTGGTTTTTCTTTTTCTTCTTCATCTTCTTCTGCACTTGATGGAGCCACTGTATGAGCCAATGATTCATCAACATGTGGTTTTTCTTTTTCTTCTTCTGTACTTGAAGGTGTAGTTGTGTGAGCCAACGTTTCATCGATATGTGGTTTTTCTTTTTCTTCTTCATCCTCTTCTGTAGTAGATGGAGCCACAGTATGAGCAAAAGTATCATCGACATGTGGTTTTTCTTTTTCTTCTTCTGTACTTGAAGGTGTAGTTGTGTGAGCCAACGTTTCATCGATATGTGGTTTTTCTTTTTCTTTTTCTTTTTCTTCTTCATCCTCTTCTGTACTTGATGGAGCCACAGTATGAGCCAAAGTATCATCGGTGTGTGGTTTTTCTTTGTCTTCTTTATCTTCTTCTGAACTTGATGGAGCCACTGTATGGGCCAATGTATCATCGACATGTGGTTTTTCTTTTTCTTCTTCATCTTCTTCTGTACTTGATGGAGCCACTGTATGAGCCAATGTATCATCGACATGTGGTTTTTCTTTTTCTTCTTCATCCTCTTCTGTACTTGATGGAGCCACAGTATGAGCGAAAGTATCATCGACATGTGGTTTTTCTTTTTCTTTTTCTTTTTCTTCTTCATCTTCTTCTGTACTTGAAGGAGCCACTGTATGAGCCAATGTATCATCGACATGTGGTTTTTCTTTTTCTTTTTCTTCTTCATCTTCTTCTGTACTTGATGGAGCCACTGTATGAGCCAATGTATCATCGACATGTGGTTTTTCTTTTTCTTTTTCTTCTTCATCCTCTTCTGTACTTGATGGAGCCACAGTATGAGCGAAAGTATCATCGATGTGTGGTTTTTCTTTTTCTTCTTCATCTTCTTCTGTACTTGAAGGAGCCACTGTATGAGCCAATGTATCATCAACATGTGGTTTTCCTTTTTCTTTTTCTTCTTCATCTTCTTCTGTAGTAGATGGAGCCACTGTATGAGCCAATGTATCATCGACATGTGGTTTTTCTTTTTCTTCTTCTGTACTTGAAGGTGTAGTTGTGTGAGCCAACGTTTCATCGATATGTGGTTTTTCTTTTTCTTTTTCTTTTTCTTTTTCTTCTTCATCCTCTTCTGTACTTGATGGAGCCACAGTATGAGCCAAAGTATCATCGGTGTGTGGTTTTTCTTTGTCTTCTTTATCTTCTTCTGAACTTGATGGAGCCACTGTATGGGCCAATGTATCATCGACATGTGGTTTTTCTTTTTCTTCTTCTTCATCTTCTTCTGTACTTGATGGAGCCACTGTATGAGCCAAAGTATCATCAACATGTGGTTTTTCTTTTTCTTCTTCATCTTCTTCTGTACTTGATGGAGCCACTGTATGAGCCAATGTATCATCGACATGTGGTTTTTCTTTTTCTTTTTCTTCTTCATCCTCTTCTGTACTTGATGGAGCCACAGTATGAGCGAAAGTATCATCGATGTGTGGTTTTTCTTTTTCTTCTTCATCTTCTTCTGTACTTGAAGGAGCCACTGTATGAGCCAATGTATCATCGACATGTGGTTTTTCTTTTTCTTTTTCTTTTTCTTTTTCTTCTTCTCTTCTTCTGTACTTGATGGAGCCACTGTATGAGCCAATGTATCATCGATGTGTGGTTTTTCTTTTTCTTTTTCTTCATCTTCTTCTGTACTTGATGGAGCCACTGTATGAGCCAATGTATCATCGACATGTGGTTTTTCTTTTTCTTTTTCTTCTTCATCTTCTTCTGTACTTGATGGAGCCACTGTATGAGCCAATGAATCATCGATGTGTGGTTTTTCTTTTTCTTCTTCATCTTCTTCTGTACTTGAAGGAGCCACTGTATGAGCCAAAGTATCATCGACATGTGGTTTTTCTTTTTCTTTTTCTTCTTCATCTTCTTCTGTACTTGATGGAGCCACTGTATGAGCCAATGTATCATCGACATGTGGTTTTTCTTTTTCTTCTTCTGTACTTGATGGTGTAGTTGTGTGAGCCAACGTTTCATCGATATGTGGTTTTTCTTTTTCTTTTTCTTTTTCTTCTTCTTCTGTACTTGATGGTGTAGTTGTGTGAGCCAACGTTTCATCGATATGTGGTTTTTCTTTTTCTTTTTCTTCTTCATCTTCTTCTGTACTTGATGGAGCCACTGTATGAGCCAATGTATCATCGACATGTGGTTTTTCTTTTTCTTCTTCTGTACTTGAAGGTGTAGTTGTGTGAGCCAACGTTTCATCGATATGTGGTTTTTCTTTTTCTTCTTCATCTTCTTCTGTACTTGATGGAGCCACAGTATGAGCAAAAGTATCATCGATGTGTGGTTTTTCTTTTTCTTCTTCATCTTCTTCTGTACTTGATGGAACCACTGTATGAGACAATGTATCATCGACATGTGGTTTTTCTTTTTCTTTTTCTTCTTCATCTTCTTCTGTACTTGATGGAGCCACTGTATGAGCCAATGTATCATCAACATGTGGTTTTTCTTTTTCTTCTTCTGTACTTGAAGGTGTAGTTGTGTGAGCCAACGTTTCATCAACATGTGGTTTTTCTTTTTCTTCTTCATCCTCTTCTGTACTTGATGGAGCCACTGTGTGAGCCAATGAATCATCGACATGTGGTTTTTCTTTTTCTTCTTCATCTTCTTCTGTACTTGATGGAGCCACTGTATGAGCCGATGTATCATCGACATGTGGTTTTTCTTTTTCTTCTTCATCCTCTTCTGTACTTGATGGAGCCACTGTATGAGCCAATGTATCATCGATGTGTGGTTTTTCTTTTTCTTTTTCTTTTTCTTCTTCATCCTCTTCTGTACTTGATGGAGCCGCAGTATGAGCCAAAGTATCATCGATGTGTGGTTTTTCTTTTTCTTCTTCATCTTCTTCTGTACTTGATGGAGCCACAGTATGAGCCAATGTATCATCAACATGTGGTTTTTCCTTTTCTCCTTCTTCTTTCTCTGTACTTGAAGGTGTAGTAGTAGGAGCCAAAGTTTCATCAATGTGTGGCTCTTCTTCTGTACTTGATGGCTTATCAGTATGATCCACCGTCGCTTCAGCGTGAGGTTTCTCTTTTTCTTTTTCTTCTTCTCCCGCACTTGGTGGTGCAACAGTATGAGCCAGTGTGTCATCGATATATGGTTTCTCTTCTTCTTTTTCTGTAATTGAAGATGCAGTAGTATGTGGTAATATTTCGTCCATACGTGATGGTTCTCCCGTTTTCTCCTCATCCATACTTGGTGGAACAACAGTATGAGCCAAAGTTTCAGGTTTTTCCTTTTCTTCTTCCGTAGCTGGAATGGAAGTTTGATCTTCAATATGATCCTTATCACTTTCATCAGAGAATGGTGCGATAGTGTGAGATAATGTTTCATCGAAATGTTCTGTTGTTGTTTCCTTCTCCGTTGTTGATACAACTTTGTGATCTTGTGTTTCTGGTATTTCTGGTGTTTGTTTTTTATCACCTGATGGGGTGGTTGTATATTCACTGCCTTCTGTATCCTTATCTGTACCTTCAGAAGAACTTTCTTCGATAGATGCTACAATTATTGGTGCTTCGTCGAAACGATCTGTAACGGCTGATGGTTTAGATGTTGTTTTATCAGCCGTAACTGGAAGAATTGTTTCCTTTTCGATTGTTGGTTCGGTAACTTCTTCTTTAACATGTGACATTGGTTTTTCAGTACTTATAGATGGCATAACAATTTCCGTAGGCGTCTGAATCGTTGTATGTTCTTTCTCTGTTTCTTCACTAGATTTCTCTGTAATAGCATCAAAACCACAAATATAGCTTGGACAACATTGGGTTGTAGTTGCTGCATCCAAAACACAATCTTCAAGATTTTCAGGAAGATTACACTCAACATGAGCACAAACAATGACACTGCTAATGCATCTGCAAGATTCTTCACATTCATTAGACGCTGGCACAATTGAATTATTTTCATAAGTTTTATGGCCAACCAAACAATCGCCTTCTCCAGGAATAATTGCGGGTATATGCATATCAATAACCTCTTCAGATGATGCTTCCTCAGATGATATTGGTTTATGACTTTCAGGAACCTCATAATGTGGTTTGATAGTTGAGATTTTATAGAGATCTTCAATTGAAGTTGTTTCAACCGATATATCAGTAGGAGGCGTTGTGATTCCTGTATCAGTTGATTCTTTAACAGGATAAGTATCCTCTTTGTCATCAGAAGTAAGTGGTTTGTGAATATCCAAGTCAGTTTTTTTATCACCAATATCAGGTTGATCAGTTTTGCTTTCATCGCCTTCAATGGGAGTTGAAACAGTACCAGATACATGTCCACTAATATCTTCTTCAGAGACCTCATCACTGTCTGGCTGTTTGGTAACAACTGGCCTCTGTTCTTCGGTATCGGTTGTTGGACTTTCAGTAGAGATTTTATCTTCTTTAACATATTCTGTAGATGTGTCGATGACTGGTTTTTCTTTTTTAGCATCGGTCGTTGGAATTTCTGTAGATAACTTATCTTCTTCGATATATTCTGTAGATGTATCGAGAGTTGGTTTTTCTTTTTCTGCTTCTGTCGCTGGAATTTCAGTTGAAAATTTATCTTGTTCAACTTTTTCTGTTGATGCATCGATGACTGGTTTTTGTTTTTCGGCATCAGCAGATGGAATTTCAGTAGATGATTTATCTTCTTCGATTTCTTCTGTAGATGCTTCCTCTTCGCCTGAAATTGCTTGAGTTGGCTTGTGAGTACTAACTGATGGTGCGATGGTAGTTTTGCTAACTTCTTCATCTTCTTCAGAACCAATCTTTTCAACAGGTGATACTGTCTGTTGTTTATCATCAACCGATGCACTTTCAGTACTACTATCAATTTTATCTTCAACTTCTTTAGTCGGTATTTTTTGGGTTCCAATATCAATGTTTTCGTCAGTAGGTGGTTTAATAGATGTGCTGCTACCAGGTTCTCCAGAACCTTCAGTAACTTCAGTTTCGTGAGTAGTAATATCAGGTTGAACTGCTTCATCGGGTTGAATGGATACTTTTGGTGTTGTAACATCTGCATACCCAGTAACGTCAGAATCTGGTTTCTTGGTACCAAATTCAATAGATTCTTCATCTTCAGGAATTTTAGAAGTTGTTGCTTCAGTATGCTGAGCAGATTCTGAAATTGGTTCTTTAGTTGAAAGATCATCAACTTCTGAAATTTTCGGTGTTGTAGATGAAACGTGTGAAATCGGTTGTTGAGTAGAATATTCTGTAGATTCACCTTCACCAGAAGACTCTAGTGTTGTGTCTTCAGCATGGTGAATATCATCTAGAATTGGCTGTTTAGTAACAAATTCAGTAGTTTCCTCATGTGGGATAGCGGGTGCCGATGTTGAAATATCGGAAATTTCACCATCCTTGCTAACATCTGAATGCTCAGTAGTGATATCAAACTGATCTCGTTTATCACTTGTTGTCTTGGGGGTAGTAAGTTCAACCACATCGGCTTCCTCTTCATCATGTTCTTTTTCTTCATCCTTTTCTGCGGATGATGGTTCTTTAGAGATATGAGGCTTAACGGTAGTAACTTCAATATGTTTCTTATCATCATCAATTTGATCTTTTTCAGTAGTTGAACTGACACCTGCAGCAGATGTATCAATATGAGTAGTTTCAGTAGTCGTAGTAATAGTTTCATAATCTCCACTACCAAGCTCTCCACCCTCAACTGGTTTTGCTGTTGCTGGTTGTTCAGCGCTTTCTGTTGGTAATTCTTTATGTGCATCTTCATCTTCGTCAATGTGTTGTTGCAATTGTAAATCTTCCTCAGGAATTGCACCATGCAAATCTTTAACTGGTGCTGCAGTTGTGATTGCTTCACCATCATAGCTGATAGTGGCTGTATCGATAATTTGTGTAGTAGCAGAGTCGTCTTCACATACATAATTGCTAGGACAACATTCACCTTCAGCAGGAGGCAGGGCATGACAAGATTTTCCATTACTGGCCAACAATGGCATCTCACATTCTTGAACAGCACAAACAATATCGCCACGCATACAATAACAATGCTCACAGGCATTCTTTCCAGTAATTGAGGCGCCATCAGCATACAATTCACCATTGTGTACACAATCAGTAGAAACTGATGGTATCATCGTTGTGGTCAAAATGAAACCAGGTGTAGGACGTACTGTTGTCGTTGTTGTTGTAGAATGATCTTCCAATTCCAAAACATCATTTTCGTGATCTGTAAAATTGAAATATAAGTAATATAATTATATGAACTTGCAATTTCTGGATAAGCGGCTCAAGAAGAAACTATGAACTCAAAATTATCATGCTTACCGCAATTATAGCGAACTGGACAACATGAGCCCTTATTGTAAATTGGTGTACAACCATCAATGTGTAGTGTACATTCTTGCATCAGACATGATGTGCGATTCTTGATACAATAACAAAGTTCACAAGGTTTGTTTGGATTTGATGGTACTTGTGCGCCTTCTGGATAAAATTTATCATCAATACTGCAACCATATTTCTCAGGAATACTTAATTCAGTTCCTGGTTCAGGAGCGTGATGGGCAATATCAACTGGAACTGAAAATTATGAATAAAAACAAATATTAAAATGTGATTGCTACGTTGAGTGATACGTTGTTGATGATTGAGCGATCTTACCTTCTGGACATGTGATAATTGGACAACATTGATCTTCACGCTTCTCCACAATACAATCGTGACCGATTGGCTTTGTGAACGGGCAGACACGTAAATAACACATGAGCATTTTATTGTGGCATGTACAATTCAAGCAAGGCTCATTTGTCATTATTCTATCGCCTTCATTATAATGATTGTAGTTATAGTAGCAGCCTTCTGCAATATAAATACAAAAATGAATAATCATATTATATATACTTATTCTAATTAATTAAATAAAAATCTAATTAATTAAATATAATTAACTCTAAATGATTCATTGATAAAAATGAAACATATAAATATAATGTGCCATTTAAGATGCTTAGATGGCAGCATCTTATAGTAATTTATAAGCTTTCATGAAGAGATCTTCATTTATCAAAAAAAAAAAATGAATTAATATTCAAAACAATTAATCGAAATCCACGATAGTATATATACATATATACTCGTGAACTTATACACGCCTAATTAATTTTAATTGCATCTGCATTTAATATTCTGTTATTAGAAGACATCCATCCATCCAATAATTAATATTTACAGTTCAGCTAATTGTGTGCAGCAGTAAAAGTTAGCAGATGAAAAGTTCAACGTAATACAAAATTCTAAACTGCAACTGCTTAAAATGCAGTTTTCTTTTCATGCAAGACTTGCAGCAAATGTATCTTCCATCTAAGTGTATCGTTCATACGTCTCACAAGTTGGAGCTAGTCAGCCTACTTGATTTGTTTGGTAATATCTCATCATCTTAATACTGGTTGCATTATAATTTCTTTGACTTCTAAGCAGTTCAAGAAATCTGTACCGAGAGGTTAAATAATAATTATGCACGCACTTGCATTTTGCGGATCGCACACAACCGCAAATTGCCGACCCATTTTTATTGGATTCTTCATTTAAACTAGATTTAGTGAAATTTCTCGATTAACAATGTTGCTCGGTTCAGTACTCAGTGCTCAGTGCTCAGTACTCAGTATACAGTGTTTTACTTTTAAGTTAAGAATTTATGTGCGAACTAAATAATAATTAGCATTTTAGGTAAAGGGCAACAGCTGCAGTTCTCACTTGAAATAATAAAATCAAGAAATGCACGCAAGATCTGCATACAAAAGAATTGATAATCTCATTAAGAATTTCGGATTGCGTCTTAAGTGAATGGAAGCTTAAAGAGAAGAATTTTAATTTATTTATCGTGTAATCTAGAATTTATCTTTCTTACAATATATTTACATATAAAGGTTTAATTAGGAAAGTAGAAATATACACATATAATAGATTGAATTAAAGTATATTTTCACATGGAATAAGACTGATTTTGTGATTCTCTTTATTAGCTATTTAAGGGTACTGACAACAGAAGTAAAGTTAATAATACACTGCTTTTGATTTGTTGATTTTGATCAAATCTTGAATCCGTTTTTTTCTTAGACATCTGGGTCTCTGGCAATAATAGGTTTAAGTTTAAAAATTATAATCCTAAAAGATCAAGAAAATATTTTCATTTTAAGAGTTACGAATTTGGTGTCTTCAGTAAACTTATTACGAATAATAAATAACAAAGATTTTTGTCTTATGTTACATATCTCTTCCCAAATTTCTCATAATTTATATTAAAAAGCGTGTTTTAACAAATATTTCTTAAAACGCTTTTCTTCTACAGGGTGATTTAAAGAAAAATCTGTCTATGAGAGTGAGGAAAGGGTATGGGAATGTCTAAGGCAGAAATTTTTATAGATACATTCGTTGCAAGTTTACTGAAAACAGGAAATGAAAACCCTAAATTTTCCAATTTTAGCTCATTATTATCAGAAATTTAAATATCTAAGAAAATATCTAATATCTAAGGTTACGTTGCAAATTTAAGATTAACAGACCCAAACTGATCTAAAAAGGTTGAAAAATAGTGCAAAGATAAAGTATATTTTTTTTATCGCACAGTGCAATCAATCTCTTAAGATAATTATATTTAAATGGCATATATCAGGGATATCGTACTATATCGAATTGTGGAATAGTAATTATAAAAGTGATTACGATGGTTCAGATACGATGGTATGGATAGCAAAAGTGGTAAAATTATGTTACGCACCCAGATGTTCTATATTCTATATTCGCTTTGGTTGCACATAGTCACCGTATGTCACCTTATACATGTTACAACTTTTTTTTTTTTTTTGTGTGGTGAGGAGCTGGAATGCTTTATGTACCGTCAAACCGACCGTCGTCGGAATGGTGTGCCTGACTCCCTAACATTAATATGTAGTATACGGACTAAAACACCCCCTCTACAGCGAGGCTTAAAAACATGGCGCTCCAAATTACATCAAAAGTAAAAGAAGTTATTATTTGTGATGAACCATATTGGTTTTGGAAGCTACGGTTGGGGTGATAATTCCGATAAATATTCACTGCTTTGCGAGGTTGTGAGGTAATCACCATTGTAGGATTCTTTATAAAGGGAAGATTACCAGAGTAGACTGTCATCAGGGATAATGAAATCATTTACATGTCTGAAGTAGTAGAAATTCTTCTGGCAAAAAGGATTGCACAATTTTCTGTGTCTAAAATGGATTGAAGTCATTAACACACATATAACTCTAACTGATTGAGAGTAATAGCATTGTCAAGAGAATTGAAAAGCGAGTATAAATAAGCTTTCCATTTTACATTATCTAAGTCCCAAAAACTTCGAAAGATGTTATTATTTTAAATTATTTGGTTTTTCGAAGGTTTTGGGTAATCTATATAACTCAGTACAGTAATCTATATAAATTGATATATTATTAGAAAATTTTATTTCACACAAAACATTAAAATGATTATTAATCTCAAATCAAAAAGGTAGTTATTTTATTAATTAGTATTAGTAAACAGTACTAATTTTTTAGTCACTAATTTTTTCTAGCAATTGCATTATATCCGTTAATAATAGTGTTAACTATTAACAAAAACAACAACAAATCATAATAATACTAATAAATTTAAATGACATGAGCATAACAAATAAAAAATAATAAATGAATAAAATCTACACAAAGTGCGAGTAATGAGCCTGGTTAGCGCGTTTACATGGCGCATTAATTTAGTCGCTAATCAACGACAATTACGGCTTTTATGATTATGGATGGTTGGCTGGACGGACGCCGGACATACGTTGGATTGGTCAGCCAAATCGAAACGTGCCGGCAGGGTTAAAGTTAGTTAGCTTAACTTGAGTTGGCTCGGCTTGGCTCGGCTTGGCTTGGCTTGAATTGGTTGCGGCTATGGCGTATCTTAGAAAAAAAAACGCTTTGTATTTGTTATTAAATAAAAAACGTTAACGAGCGGGTCTAATGAATGAAAATGAAAATTTACGATTTATGTTTGAAACGTGAGCGCCACACGTTGTTGTGAGCCACAATTTATTACAAAATTGTTGCAGTTCAAATTAAAGAGATAAGCGCTTTGTGGTTACTTTGTGGAAGTGTCAGAAGATATTTCAATCAAATTCTAACAAAATAATAAAGCAAAAAATATTTTTGAGTTTGTTAAGTGTTAAAAATATCCAAATATTTATGACGATCAGTGGCGTTGGAACTGTTTGCGGCAGTTATTCACAGCCAGTAGCATTTTGAGGTCTATTAGTTGTCTGTCCATCGTCCGACGTCCGTCGTCCGTCGTCTGTCGGTATATCAATTATTTAATTTGTTGTATAGACAGTCGCAGGTGTTTGTATATCTATCTATCTACCTGGTTATTAAACAATCGGTCAGTTTGATTTTGTATCTTTTTTATGATTATATGAATTTTTTAACTATGTATGTCTGTATGTATGTCCGTTTCAAGTCACTCAGTGCTTGGACGAAGTGTTAAATTATTAGCGGATTATATATGTTTAAACGTTTATTATTATGACAATTTATGGCATTTTTGAGGTGTCTTATTTATTATTAGCACTTTATTGCTTGTTAACACAACATTTTGTCATTTTTTTTGTCGTTTTCATTGTTTGTTTGGCAATTGATTGAATTTATATGCATGATTATGATATATTTATTTGCACAAATTTGATTAATTACCTTAATATTTATTGTGAGTATTATTTAAATTAGTTCAAGGATTTTAAAAATATTTTTAATAATTTTATACGCACAAAAATTAGACTTTAAAATTTTAAAATTTTTTTTAAAACTTTTAAAATTTTATTCGTTAACTTACTTAACAGGAAATCAGTCTTATATAGTCTTATATGCTGGAATTACTACTCAGTCACAGTCGTTTATAAAACCATGCCATGAAATTTAAAATTCGCTTCCATGAAACACGCCTCAGTTATGAGAAAACGAGTAAAATGCTTAGAGTCCGATTCGTAAGTCAGTTAAAGCTGCTATGAAAAAATTTTAGGATCTTAATCAACTGTAGGACTTCTAATTGAAGACCGATCGTTTAAGGCACGAAATGGTTTCGAACTCAGCAAGTTTTTAACATTACTACGATGGTTCACAAGGCTTAAGTGGATGCTTCAAACAACCGTAATAACTTAATCTCAATTAAATTATAATAATGAAGTAATATATATAACATGATATTACCCAGAAATATTAAACAGAGATTATTATTTTGTATATAAATGTGAAATTAAAATATTCATATAAATTAAAGTCAAATTTATTCATATATGATGATGCCATCTGGTGATGGCAAAAAACGGTAAATGAAAGATACTAAAAGCTTTCTGTGTGGTAAGAGAATCGATTGACTTGATTGATTGGTCCAATGAAGTTAACTTATTGTCATATCTTGAATGATAAGTCCTTGTTAGGAGCATTTCTTTTAAGAAGCACGTGAAGAAGTATGTGATACTATGTGCATTAATTTGTATCCCCAAATATTAAAACTGTAGTTACTTCTACTAGAAAGTTTAGCAGAGTTCTATGAAAATGGCTTATTTGGTAATTGAGCACTATACTATCACAAAGAAAAGGGGACCTAAAAACGGAAAGCTTAAGAATAGTCTATAAAATTTTTTTATAAATAATAAGTTATTATGTATTGCAAATAAATCGTAAATACATTCGTAAGTATATATGTTGCAGCACAAAAGATCAAAGACGGTCGCAGTGCTCTGATCCGTCGGGAGCTAGTATCCCGTTCATTCCTATTCCTATTCGTAAGTATATTTCTGCATAACTGACAATTTTATGACACTACATTTTTGCATTACACAAACTATAAAAGGGCACCGAAGATTGTGAACACCCAATTCGAAATATTTTTTTGTTATTATGTATGTATAAAACCAACGAATAAAGGAACTGTAAAAGAAAATCTCAAAAAAGCAGTTGGATGGACTCTTATATGAGTGAACAGAATATTTTACATATGAAGTAAATCTTAAGTGCATACTGGAAAGTTTAAGAGCTTTACTATATATTATAATTTGTGGTTCTTATTAATGAAGTAAACTAGCATACCATACCATTAGTAATACTAGGTATATGTGATATGTTATTATATATTACTATAAATGCTATAAGAAAAATATATGTAAAATTAAAAAAATGCTTTATTCTTACCAGTATATTGTTGAATTTCTGTTATATCTTGCAGTGGAGCTGTAATAAAATAAAAAGCAAACGATTAATATAATTTGTTATGGTTTATTAAATAAAAATATTATATGCATGTTATGCTTAATAACTCTGTTATGCTTATTATAATATTTTTAATTAGTAATTGGTTTCAAAAACATATGTACAATATTGATTATATCTAACTAATTTTTTGCTAATGTATTGATCAGGAAAAATATATTTATAAAATATAAATATTTTATATATATAAATATAAAATATTTAGGTTTGATTTAATTACTTATTAAAATATTTAAAGATCTATCTAAAGCATTAAATATTGTAGTGCATATTTTATATTATATTTTATTATTTATATTATATTAACAGTTTTATAATATAAGATATCTTATGAATTTTGGATTAAGTTTTGCACTTACTATAACCTAACTGTCAAGACCCCCATATATTTGTTTTTGAGATTCTCTATTTACGACCCATTTTTTTTAAATTAATGTACTAAGCCTATTACACAAGCGCATATAATTATGTGATTTAAAAGTCCATTTTTTTATTCTTAATTTTTTTTTTAAATATAAATTATACCATTTAATTATGTTTCTAATATGATCTTACATAAAATAATGATAACCAATCTCAAAAGCTTATAAGTAAATTAAACTGTGTCAATAATAGTTTATGAGCACTCTACATAGCCGTTTACGACTAAGCGTGGGAATCCCGCTATTCAATTTAGCGAGTAACAGGGTTGCAAATATTTTCTAGTTACGGCATTGCAGTATTTATGCGTTCGTTATTCGAGATCGTGAATATCGCTCTTAATTAGTTAGAATAATTTAATAACATAGTTAAAAATTTTCATTATATTTTTTATATTTGGTAATACATAGAACAGTTTTTTGTAGTCCAGTATATTATTTAAGAAGTCTCTGATGACGTCAAAAATTTCTCTTAGCTGCACAAAGACCAAATGTTTAAATCTATTAACAACAGTTGAAATCAACATTGGTTGATCTATTAACAAGTGCAATTGCAATTGCAAATGCAATTGCAACTGCAACAAAATCAGCAACAGTAATTTATGTAGTTAACGAAATTAAAATGCGAAAGCTACATATTTAACGACATCTCGCTGTTATTGAAAAGGAAATTGCAAGAAAATGTAACTTTAGCGACAGCTTGAAGTAATGAAACTGGAGACGAGTAACATGTTATTACAGCATTAAACTGAGTTTCAGTAGTTCTGCTGCAATAAAGTAGGAGATACATTTTTTTAGTATAAAAATAAAAAAAAATAACATATAAAACACGTTATGCGGTCACATGCCAAATAAACGTTGTACTTGTTATGCAACAAATTCTAAATTAAATGCAAAGATAGATGAGTAACGAGTACAAGAATGACTTCACTGGTACACAAAATGTGCAACTTCCCGATGCGTTTCTAAGCCGGTAATATATTATCAACTAACAACGACAACTAGAGAGTCCAGCACAATTGCGAGTTGCGTTCGTACTGAACTTCACTTCAATGCATTTGTACCTGTTATGCATACAGGCGCTTCACCTTAACCGTTTCCATTTCTATGTCTGAGTCGGAGTCCACAAATGCAATCGTTTCGAGTAAGCGAGCACTGCTTCAACATGTCTTTTGTAGTCCAGTTCCCGTCTTCCACCTTGTTAAGCTTCGCAAAATGCTTCAACAAATTGTCTGAACTGACAGTGAAACATGTGAAAAGTGCGCGTAACTTTGCTCGAGTTTGTGGTTGTGACAAGTGACGTTTATGATGGAATATGCTAACAACTCTAGCATGCTACACAATATTTATGCAGCTTAGTGCCATGCTTGGCAGACCCATACCTAGCCACAAAGTAGGAAGTTTTTAATTCTTCAAAATACTCGTAGCCCAACAAAAAATAGCAAAAACAACATGAAGTGATTTGACAAATTGTTTTTATGAATTGCTTAGTCCACTTTCCTGCTTTGGGTTCCTATTAGACAAAGTTACCAGCTTGAAATTCTAGTTAAATGATTATTATGTTGTTTTTGTTGCAGTTGCAACTGCAGTTCTTGCTGCAGTTGCAACTGCAGTTCTTGCTGCAGTTTTTATTGATAATGATAGTTTTTTGTTTTTGGTTTTTGTTAAGGGCTAGCAGACATTTACAATTTTTATATTCATTTATTATTCATGTGCAGAAAAGTTACAATATGTGCAAGCTTTAATTAGAAAAAGAGTAATATAAACTTAGTTAGCAGTTTAATTAAAACAGTTTAATTAATAGTTTTAATGACTGCATTTAACATTGATGAATTAGACTAAGTTTTCTTATAAGTAATAGTTTGTATGGATTAGTTGTGTACATTACATATATTCATATTGTATATTTGTTTTTGTGCTACTCGTTGCTACTATTTATGGACGCAGCAGTAGTTTACTCGTCCATGCTAACTCGTAAGATTAGGTAAGCATCGGACATGTAATTTGCGGTGTATAAGCGGTATTATACATAAAATTACGAATTAAATACAACATTATGAGGCCCTGCAAAGTCATATATAAGTATACCTATATTTCCGTTATTAGTTGGATAAGAAACTTGAATCTTCTATGTCCTGTAAAGCAAAATACGTTTTTTGCTTTCCTATTCGAAATTTACAATTTTAAATGACTGTATAAATGCCCAAAAATATTGATTTTATACCCAAAACAATTTTATACCCAAAACAATTGACATTTTTTTCTAATTCAAATAAAACCAATAACTTTTTTTAGAGTAAAAACTATTGTTGATGATGTAGAATTACCATGCAAGCTATTTCTTTGAAGTCATAAATTCCGGTTTCCCAAACACACCCTTTTGACAAAGGATTTCAATAGAGTCAGACAATTTATAATATACGTCAATATACCGAGGTTTGAAGTTGATATTGTCAACCCTTAACGTTGATTAACAAAAAATTGCACACGCCATCTAGCGCCAATTATTTAGTATATAAGCCTAATACTTGGACATGGGCAAATAGTTTGACTAGTGACAAGTTCTAGGGTTGGAGAACTGCATTTTTACTTAACACACTTAATATACCCATGTGTGATACTAATATCTTAAAAATGTTATATTCAAACTATTACACTTGAAAAAAAATGGTTCCACAATAAAAGTGAGGTAGTTGCATAGGTTTAAATAAAGCAGTCTTATAGCTAGAAGTAAAGCTGCTAGCTGTTATCAACTCTGTAAGTCCACAAACAATCATTCCTGTTTCAGTAAATAGAAGTAAGGAAGATGCTCAGGATCATTAAGGCGCACATTTATTACAAATAAAAGCTGTAAGTTCACAATCCATCCAAGTCCATCTTTCCTGTTTTAGTAAATAGAAGTAAGGAAGATAAAGGCTGTAAGTTCACAATCCATCCAAGTCCATCATTCCTGTTTTAATAAATAAAAGTGAGGTAGCTGTTCAAAAGCAAGTAAGGCAAACTATTATATAGAAGTAAGGGTGTTAGCACTCTTAACAAATCTCTAGGTTCATAATCCATAATTCATATTTCTATTAAATAGTTTGAAAAAATTGTTGCAAACAAATTTTTTTATTGTTGCCAATAAATTGTAAATGAGCCAACCGCCTGCAAATTCATAAAAGTCAACAACGGTTTCTGGTTATTAGCAATTACTTGTTAGCAACAGCAATAATATTAGCTAGCAAATTACTGTTCTATGTTTTAGTAAAATACCAAAAAAAAAAAACAAAAAAAAATTAAAGAAATGAGTAAAAAAAATCTATTGTAAATAATATAAAAGTGCAACAATTTAATGCTGTACAATGTTTGTTTAGTTGCTGCTGTTCTCAATGTTGTTGCAATTGTTACTTTGGCCGTTGTACGTTTAGCTAACGGATGTAAATTTAAGTTTTCAACATTTACTCCAAATGTGTGAGTGCAGCAAATACAAAATAAAAAAAGAAAAATAAATAAACAAATCTTTAAAATACAAAATAAAAAAATTAAAAATAAATAAATAAATAAATGAACTGCAGTCTATGGAAGAGTGAAACCTGGTTGCGCATAAAATTAACAAAATTAAAAATATCAGCAGCAGCAACAACAACAGTAACAACAACAACAAAGAGACGAACTGCAACCGTCACAAGTTGCAACAATGAATGCGAGCATAGTTAATAAAAAATCTTAAAAACCTTTTTTTTTCTTCTTATTATTTTATACTAATTTTCTTCTTCTTCTTCTTTTTTCTCTCTCTTCTTTTCTTTTTCTTTTTCTTTTTCTTTGCAGTCAGTAAACATGTCTTGAGCATTTTCGCTGTTACTTGGAGACGAGATCAAACGTGGCGGTGCTGCACAGGAAGCACAGTGTACGTACACCTTTAGGTCTCATGTTAAGGAATGAAACGTATGAAAAGGAAGTGTAAGGAGTTGTTAACACATTTTGCATACACTGAGCATAAACAATATTGTGGCTTAGAACTTTAAAACTTATGCAATTTCATAGCACTGTTGTTGTTGTTGCTATTTTTGTTGTTGCTGTTTTTGGTGTGGAAATGATGTATAAGTGCAATAATGCAAACCATAACAACAGCTCCAGCTCCAGCTCCGGCTATGGCTCCAGCTTCAATTCACGAATGAACAGTAACAATAAGAACAACAACAACTTAAGCAAAAGTAGCAGCAACTTTAAAACTTGTAAAAAGTACAACAACACGTAACAACAACAGCAACAATGGGAAGAAGAAGAACAACTGCAACTATTAACACGACCAAAAGAGCATAACATGCAAAGATATTGAAATTTTCAAGATACAATATCACGGCCAAGTGTAAGTTTTTCTTCTGCTGCTACTTCTTCGTCTTCTTCCTCTCCTTCTTCTTGTTCTTGTTCTTGTTCATCTTGTTGGTTTGTAACTTTAGCTGCTATTAGAGTGCCTCCACTGTATCTGTTGGAATTAGTACATGGAGTTAGTAAGGTATTGAAAGAATATCTACTAGAGCATATGTTAAGCTAAGAAGG